GGAGGGAGCGGGGAGGGAGGAGGGAAAATGAGCTGACACCAGGGCCTCAAGTGGAAAGTGGGTGTCGTAAGAATGATGAAGTCAACATATGTACTAAAGTGCTGGACACAGATGACGTATGTACAGATTGTGATGAGTTGTATGAGCCCCTAATAAAATGATTATTTAAAAAAAAAAAGAATAAGTGTGTCTTTGCATTTAAATCTTAAACTCCTGCTCTCAAAAATGGACTATTCTAATGCCCTTTAATCCATAAGATCGGCCTGGGTTCTGTTGAAAAGTGCAGGGTCTTAGAAAAAGTCGTTGGCACACACAAATGTCCATGCATATATTTTGTCCTACATAACTATACTTTCTAGAGGAGCACAATGGCAAAGCATTCGACTACTTTCCCAAAGATTGACATTTTGAACCCACCAATGGACTATGGAGGAAAGATTTGACAGTCTGTTTATGTAAAGGTTAGAACATTATGGAGCAATTCTCACCTGTCCTATAGGGATGTATGAACTGGAATCCACCCAATGGCAAACAAAGGGCTTGTAATTACTAGGGGAATCCTTGGGTGGTGCAAATAGTTTATGTACTTCACTTCTGATAAAGAGGTTGGACGTTTGCAACATCCAAAGGTGACTTGGAAGAAAAGTCTGGTGATCTACACCCAAAACTCAGACACTAAAAATTATATGAGAGAAGGACCTCAGAACACCAAGAAAGGAAACTTGGGAGTGGGAATGTGTCCTTTAGACAGAGAGTCTCTGTTATGAGAACCTCCTCGATCCAGGGGAAGACCGAAGTCAACACAAGTGTAGATCTCCAAGGGCATTGGACTGACAGATACTGAAAGAAAAAGTCTTCCCCTATACATAAGAACAATTGTGAGGTGCAGGAATTGTGCCCAATCTGATCCCATCACACTGGGGCGAAACACTAAGGGCATGCAACAGAGCAGCAAGGGGAGCAAAGTGGTGAAATCCCCGGGAGATACCAAAAATAGACTTTGGGGACAGAGTGTGACACCCCATCACACGTGACTGGAAAACCTAAAGGTAAAAAAAAAAAAAGAGACCTGGAGCTATTTATAGGCTTCTCCTTTTTT